TTTCTTTTTCCTTTTTTATGACGAATGAAAAATTTGTAATTCAAAATTCATGAATAATGGGAGCAATAATTATTATTTATCTACCGTATTTCAAATTTTATTGTATACAGAGAAAAATTGGCCGTTCAGTTTCACAAGTGATTTCCGCTGTATCATAATTTCAAGGACTTTTTCTCTAAATTTTATTTTCTAAATTATACCAACAGTTAATCGTACGGCAGAAGTTTCGGTTGCATCGCGGCTCGTTCATCGTCTTCACCGGATCTCTATCCACTAGATTTTCAATTATTATAAATCTTCGTATCACACGGAATCTTTAACCCAACGCATATTTCGTTCCGCGTAGTTTCTCTAACCCCTCCTGTACCGTAGCATACAATAGCCCATAAATTCGAAACAGGATTCTCTTTCCCCTTTTCTACATCCTATATTCCTTCCCATAACGACATTGACAATGAGAACGACCCGTTGATAATTCTTTCATGCATGGTTTCATCCTAGATCACCGTGAAGCGGAAAAATATACAAGAAATATTCTTATTTTGCATGAAATTATCATAAAAGTATTATACATATGCAATGATCATTTTTATCCTTTACGGTTCTTTAACTTCTCACGAAAGTCAAACGAAAATATTTAAAACGTTCTGGTAAAGTGAAGTACTCGGGAATAATTAAGTATAATTTATGCAACGTACTCTGCTGTTTGAAATATCTTGAAATTAACGTATGAAAGTACAGCGAATATTTGCTTGTAAGTTTTAACATCAATATGATTTTTATGAGCTTACCTTTACATAAAAATTACATCAAATCCAAAATCAATAATTGATAGATCCCATTTCCATTATTCTTTGGAATTTCTTGAAATATGAGATAATATTCAGAATTGATTTATTTTTGTTTTTCTCTTTTTTCTTTCCCTTTTTTTTTTTCTTTTCCTTCAGTAATTTCTCGAACACGCAGAACATTGAAAATAGATCTTACACAATGAACGACCAAAGCTGAATGATATTACACGAAAGTATTCTTTTTGTATTTGCAGAAGTCCCGGAAACTCCACCACGACCCAGATCCATGGCTCCGCCGCTTTCTCGTAGCAGCGGTGTTGGAGTAGGAGGAGGTGGAGTTGGAGGTGTTGGTAGTGGTGGTGGTGGTGGTGCTGGTGTAGGTGGAGGCGTTAGCGGAAGCGGAGGTGGAGGAGGCAACAGCAGCGGCAACGGCACAGGACCGATTTCTGGGGGTTGGGGAGATGCACCACTCGCAAGAGCACTCTTCGCTTATCTCAGCTCCGGAGAGAATCAGTTGAGCTTTCTCGAGGGTGATCTCATCGCACTGATGGGTGAGTCCTTACCAATCCGATCATGGAGAGAGAGAGAGAGAGAGAGAAAGAGAGAGAGAGAGAGAGAGGGAGAGAAAGAGAGAGAGAGAGAGAGAGAGAGAGGGAGAGAAAGAGAGAGAGAGAGAGAGAGAGAGAGAGAATTATCCCATTCCACTTTCCCCATTTGCAATCGCCATTAATTCGTTGCGATTCTACTCATGAATTGTCGTCGAAATTCTAAAGAACAGGATGTGATTAACGTTAATTGGCAGGATTTCCCTAGTTAGACTTATTATTTCAATTGAAACTTTCTAATGGATATTTGAAATTGATATGGGGATCCGTTAATCGTTGTATTAGGTGATCGTCAAAAGGGCTGGCAATTCGGTGAAAATCTTCGTACGCAAAGTTCAGGATGGTTTCCATTGGCATATACCGAAGTTATTATCGACGATAGTTTAGGGTAAGTCTATATATATATATATATATTAAGTCTATATATATATATATTTGATAATATATTTGAATTTCGTGTAATAATTATTATGATCTATTACGCATAGAAAATTAATATAATACGTGATGTAACGTTATGTAAAAAGATCACCTAGTCATGGTGCTAGCAATGGTAGAACACCGGAACCACAAGCAATTCCACCGTGTAAACCACCACCCTCTCGTCCGCCAGTCACACCGAGTAGCATCGACGAGTTATCGAGTGGTCATCATGGTTCTGGAAACAATAACATAAACAGCAACAGCAATAATAATAATACCAATAGCTGTGGAACACCAACAAATGTCCCTAATAGTAACAGTGCACACAATTTAGCCACTCCTACTGCTCGTCAATCTAAATCGGTGAGAATAAGTGTATCGTATTGAGTCGTTAGATTTATATATACATACACATATATATTCTTTTTCTTTTTATTTGTCTTTATTACTTTTTGATTGAGATAATCTTTGAGTTATCTTCGACGTATCGATAATATGATGAATTTGTATTTCTATTTTCTATCAGATCCGTCCATCAGGTACATTACCAACTGTCCTAGCTGGTGGTCGTAGAGTCCAACCACCCGTCCCACCAATTCCACCACCCCAAGCGGTGACCTCACTTCACAGTAGCAACGATAGTGGATTTTCTAACGAACCACCTGCTCAACCGGATATTGATTATAGCGACGACGAGGCCATGAGGTAAGAAATATTCCTCTATTGTAGATTTCGATTGCTCACCGGAAACACACTTTGGGACCATTCATTCTAACTTACTCGATTGCTATCTCTTAAAAGATAAAGATATAAGATTGACTATATTAGATTTTAGATTGGAACGCTTCTGCCTGTTTGAATGAGATTAAGCGTAAGGATTGGAAGAGCTTTGTAAGATAGCTATGGCCCGCATAAATTTCTTTTTTCTCTCTTTTTTTTTTTTTTTTTTTAATATTGTTCATCTTTGTGTTCTTTCTTTCTTTTTTTATATATTTATTTATTTATTTATTTTTTTTTTTGATCGCTATTACTTGGTATTTGGTATATGCTAGAGACATTATAGAACTCTTTATAGCTGCGTTTTTTTGACGTAGCCGTCATTAAGATACTGCTCCCCCAACTGCCTCGATCGGGTTGATTAAAAAAGAAAAAAAAAAACAAAAAACCAAAACAAAAAACAAAAATGTAGGATTAACGATGAGAGGATCGACCCTGCCACCTGCGGTACGTTAACAGAGCCTACGCTTTTCTTTATTTGCTATGACGATATCGTTTTCTCTCGTTATTTGTAGATTCCGCATGCGTTATCGTGGTCGGTGGAACTAAAATCCGACGTGGTGATGGCTCACACTTTTCTTTTGGATCCTATGCTCCGAAACACACCAGGACACATCCGACACGATCCCTTCACCATACACGATCCAAGTTTTTTCTTCTTTTTTTTTTTCTTCTTTTTATCTTTTTCATCGCATATGCAAACTGTACAGCGTATCAACGATTTTACATTTTTACCTTTTGGCTCTATTGGTTGTCCTCGCCCGCCTCTCATCATGTAGTTTATCTTTTATTCTTCTTCTTTTTCTTCTCTTCTCTCTATTTCTCTCTTTCTCTCTCTCTCTCTCTCTTTGTCTTTCTTTCTTTCTTTCTTTCTTTCTTTCTTTCTTTCTTTCTTTCTTTCTTTCTCTTTCTCTTTCTCTTTCTTTCCATCTGCACACTTCGTTTTTTTTTACTCATCCTGAGCCTGAACGATAAAACAGACAACGTCGAAGAAAGCCACGTCCTGAAAGAATCACCGAGTCGTCCGGGAAACAACAACTCCAACAACAATCGAAGGACGATCAGAAAAGTTCGAACGAGAAAAATTGGGAGAACGATTCGTGGAAGACGATATCGCGAGATGAGAAGAGCTGGCAACTTTATAGAACGGCGATGGACTTGTGGGCAGAATCTAATGCGAATCAAAACAACGAGAACGACGAACCAATTTCTGGGAGATACTCCAGTGGTAACCGGCGTTATGATAACAGTCAGGATCGACAAAATACTCGCGATTACTTTAATCGTAATACTTTGGAGAATGGTCAATCTAATACTGGTAAACGGGGTAAGAAAGTTCAAGATAAAGTTCAAAAGAACGAATACGATTCCCGTGTACGGCCAAATCCAAATCATCGAAATAAATTTTCTACCGGCGAGGAAACGTCAACGAGAAGCTCTAACAGACGAAATAACGAACAAACTCAATCGAGTTTGCGTCGAGAAAATTCAAAGCGAGGTAATAACAAGGAACAAGAGGAAACGGAGGAGGACGAGTTGGATATGGATGACGAGGAAGAGGATGCATATGGTTCTGGTATTGATTATCAAAAGAAATATTACAACGATAGAATCGAGAATCAGGATCGAAATTCGCGTAGAAGTGGTTATCGTTCGTTAGAGAATGACGAGTCGAAATATGAAAATGAAAAGACATCGTCAAGTCCGTCGTCGGATAGCGACGACGAAAGTACAATAACCGTACCGGAAATTGGTAGGAAGGTTGAACATATTGCACAAAAGTTGGAACAGACAGCACAAAAGTATGCTCGAGAGCACAGTCCGCCGAAATTTATGGAAAGAAGAAACGATTACAAGAGCTTAGAACGTAACAGAGAGGAGAAACAACTTCAGAATACTTATGATAGGTATAACAGCAACGAACGTGATAGGAATCGATTGGTTCAGAGATTGGAGAAAGATAGGGATAGATATTTCGATAAGTCGTCGGCAATATCTGGAAAAAGTTCGACTTATGAAAGAGAGAGAACATTCGAAAAGAATCCCGATAGAAATAGAAACATAGAACGAGCTTCTGGTCGTCGTTTCGAAAGGCCTAGACCACCTTCGGAAGAAGCACCTGAAAGGCCAACTGACATACGTGGTAATTATTTCCGTGATCGTTGTTATTCGGATAAAGAGGAAGCTATTTATGGTGAAACAGGTAGGTTTACGAGAGATCCACTCTCGCTCGACAAGGAACGCGGTTATGAGTCTAATTTCGAGACCAAATTGGAAAGAACTAAAGTAATCGAAAGACATGGTTATCAGAGTATGCTCGGACAACAAAATAATCTTCAACGAGTAGATAGAAATGAACATAATAATAGTTTAGAGAGAAACGATAATAACAATAATACTTTGAAGGACGATAGAAGACCATTGTTACCTCGACAAACGACCGCTGTTGGTCATTTGATTCAAACAGGTAGATCCTTCGAGGTTGACACGAAAAGTCCAAAATTAGTTAAAAGGACTAAATCATTTTGGAGGTTCCGCAGGGATTCCGACGTTTTAGAGGGTATGGCACTTTGGCAGCATCGTTCTCTCGTTGATATACCGAAAATGATAAAGAAGGAATTGAATGAGGATAGATCTAACACGTTTGAAAAATCAACGAAGAAACGTAGTTCCGACAGTAGTCCAACATCTAGGCGGAGTCTTGAGAAACGTGACAGTGATGTTACCTTGACAAATGAACAATCGAGTCAAGATGAACCAAAACCAGCCGAGAGGATTCACGTGCCAGATAAAAACGATTATTTCGAAGACTTTCCGACTCCTGCCGAAAGACCTAAAGTCATCGAAAGATCGGAGTATCGGATGCATCAGGAGGAGAGAGCATATTTCGTTGGTAACGTTTCAAGAAAGGCGATAATTGAGAAGGAACGCAAACGTAGCCTCGAGGCAAAAAGAAACATGATCGTTGCCGAGTTAAAGGAGAACAACGAAGTCAAGAGGAACGAGAGGAGAGGACAAAAAGATTATGGGAATGAAAATGACAATGGTCTTATACGTAGCTTCAGTGAAACTGAGGCTTCCGATGAGGAATCAACTTATAGTTGTATCGTTGTAAAGGATCAAACGGTCGCGGAGAAGACATTATTACCGAGAACGAAATTAAGAAGAGATTCTGATCGCGATAGGGACAAGAACGTGTGTGGACCATGGTACGATCTATGGGGTGTCGATTCGTCGGTCAACAATAAGAAAAAGAAGAAGAAGCAGCAATAAGATTCTCTCTTTCGTTTTGTTTCGTTTCGTTTAATTTAGTTTAGTTTAGTTTAGTTCAATATCGTATCGTATCGTTTCGTTTCGTTTGGTATCGTTTTTGTTTCTTTCTTTTTTAATTTTATTTTATCTGATTTTTCTTCTTTTCTTTTTTTTTCTTTTTTTTTCTTTTTTTTTCTTTGTTTTTTTTTTCTTTTTTCCCCCTTACGATTTTTTCATTCTTACACGTACACCCATACGTTTCGGTTTATTCTTTTGTTTTTCTTTTCTATTTTATTTTATTTTATTTTATTTTATTTTATTTTATTTTATTTTATTTTATTTTATTTTATTTTATTTTATTTTATTTTATTAAAGTTTATCTTTAGTTTATCTTCAGTTATATCCACATCACAAAACCCCCGACATTATTCTACGTGTTCAGAATTCTCTCGACGATGAGTGTACTTCACGATGATAGCTTGTAGCAACTTATCATCGTTATCTTGTATTTGTACCCTTTTAACTATACGTAAATGTCATTTGAAAATCATATATGCTTTTGCTCGATGTTTATCCTTTTCGTTTCGATTCTTGCTCACAGTCCTATGAGAATATAACGTGTTTTTGGTCAAAGTCTCCGAGGTTGAACCGTGCGAGGACACACAACGTTATGGTTGTTGCTTCACTCGTAACTCTTGTCTCGATCGCTCTCACGGTACAACGACGTTGCTTTAATAAAACGGTATGCCCTTTTCGCTAGAATTCTTGCTTCGTATGTTTCCGAAACATGTGAACGTTATGATTCTTTGTAAGTTTCCCTTACGGTATGTTTCAATGTATCGTCATTTGTATGCTATGCAAATTTGTACCTGCATAAATGCATGTACCTTAGGTTCGATATGTTATCATTGTTATTATTATTATTATTATTATTATTATTATTATTATTATTATTATTATTATTATTATTATTATTATTATTATTATTATTATTATTATTATCATTATTCTTATTATTATTATTATTGTTATTATAATTTTATCATAAGACTATAATTGAAAGTTTAAAGAGTTATTCAGATATTAATTCGATATTATCTGTCTTCGTCTTTATCCAAATATTTATCTCACAAAAATCGAATTCCTTTCGTATATTTTTTATATTACATATTGCATTACGTTATCTATAAGGCATAGTAATCTCTCCGTTTGAAAATCTTACAGGACCAACATATTTGCAACAGTGAAACTACGAAAGACGAAGACTAACGATCGATCCGCTCCAGCTCTCTCATGAGACAAATTATTTCAATAGATCGTTTCAACTCCGAATATCAAGAGAGAGAGAGAGAGAGAGAGAGAGAGAGAGAGAATACGAAAAAAAAAATGTTTTTTCTTTACTTTGACAAACGACAGTTCCTTCGCGTTGCCGTTTTCCAAGAGCCGAAGTCGGAAATGATAAAGAAACGAAATGAAAAAAAAAATAAAAAAAAATAAAAGCAAAAAAAAAGAAAAAATAAACAGAAGAAACGAAATAATCAAAATTCAATATTAAATTTTACATGGATGTCCGTCCAACCAGTACGTCCATATTAAGTCCATTATTAAAAACTATAAATTGCTATCTTAAAATCAAAAGAAGAACACTCGCCAGGGAAGCTAATCGCAGCTTTTTATTAGGAAAAAAAATAACAAAAAAATATATAGAAAGAAATAGAGAAAGAGAGAGAGAGAGAGAGAGAGAGGGAGGGAGGGAGGGAGAGAAAAAGAGAAAAGCAAACGCGCACTGCCAATTTTTCGAGGGCATTTCCTTTTCAGAGAGACTGACATTTTCATTCAACGATTAGGGACCATCCTAGCGACGTGATCGAAAAAAAAAGAGAATATAACATGATATACATAAAAGTCAAAAACAAAAAAAAAAGATAAAAAGAAAGCAAAAAAAGAAAAAGAAAAAAATATTGAAAAGTAATATATACTCCGAAGGAAACGAGGAAAAAAAAATAATCAATTCGTTTTGCTGTAATTAACGATTATTTGACATTATTTCACTCGAAATGGCGACACTTAATGATTTCTTTTAATTTCTTATGATCGAGATATCAATTGTATATTGCCTACATATATATATGTATATATATATAATTATAATATATATATATATATAATATATGTGTATATATGTATATATATATATATATATATATATATATATATACACATATATATACGTATGTATGTATGTACAGTGTACCAACAAAGTATTCATACGTTTTTTATTTAAATCGTATAAATTATTTTTAAAGAAGTGAGCAAAGGTATGCTTTCTATTTAAAAATATTTTAAAAATATTTTGTTAATGATCGATCGATCGATATTTCAATGATCTAACTCGTATACAAAAATCACTTGATTTTTTTCATGATACGGTGCATTTCCAAGTATTTCACGCGAAACAATCAGATTTACAAAATGCACCAATAAATTTATTTACAAAAAAAAAAAAATTAGATAATCCTAATCTTCTATTGTTTATTATTGTCGCAATAACAACAAAAAAAAGAATAAAAAAAAGAACACTCCTTTATGACCGATAAACTTTCATATAACCATATACATTCGAATAAAAATTATTATATGAAAGCTTAAAAGAACTTCAAAATGTATTCAAGCAATTTTGTGAGCCGCTGTACATAAACTCGTTTATTTTTCTCTTTTTCTTTTTATTCTTTTTTTTTTTTTTTAATTTTTATTTTCTTTCATTCTTTTTCTTTTTGTCTTTGTTGATTCACTTTCAATTTCATTTTACTTTTTGTTTTAATAGTCGCCACGCGTAAAAGTTTTACGTCGAGCTTCGCTTTTACTATACCAACAATCCGGAACCCTCCTCTTGCTCTCCAACCTTTTCCTCCCCCCTCCCCCCCCAAACACACCCACTATCGTCCCATCCCTATTTTCCACTCACATTTTTCCTGGACATCGCATCGTATCGCGTCGCATCGCATCGCAACGATAGTTTATTTCCGGATAAGTTAATCCTGGACGCCCTGTCTCCTGTCCTTTGACAACTTCTCATTGCGTTCAACGACGAAACGAAAAGCGTTCATTCAGAAATTGTAAATCGTTTTTCACGTACACACATACACACACACACACACACACCTCTCCCATAAACAAACAAACAAACATACAAACACACACACACACACATATACAACACACGCGTCCGCTTTATCGCGATTGAACGACGAACTCTTAATAATCTCGCGTTTCTCGAACGTTTCGTCGTCTTCGAGAGTCATCTTTGTTATTTCCTTTTTTCAATTGTTTTTTTTTCTTTTTTTGTTCGTCTATTCATTCCTCTCTCCAACCAACGCAAAATTCTAGCATTGAATTTCGTGGTTAAATGTCTCAACGTCGTCTAACTTTCATTCGTCACTTTTTATTTCTCATACGAGATATACGTAGAACGTCGACGAAGAAAAATCCCTTTCTCTCGTAGTCCCATCCCTTCCTTCTCTCATCTTCTTGTTTAACTTACAGGGAATAAATATTTTTTCTTTATTTTCTTTTTTTCTTTGTTTTTCTTTGTTACTCCTGACAACAACTTCTCGTTACAACGAAAATTGCTTTGGTTTTTTTTAAGTTAAGTTATTCCTATTCGTTTGAATTTTCAAGATCGTTTTCTTTTTTCTCTTTCCTTATATATATATACTTCATTAATATCTAAGAGATAAATCATAATGAGAATTAAAATATTTTTTTTTATTTATCTTACAATTTCTTCAAAAAAAAATTAATTTCGTTTTATTTCTCTCTTGTTTTGAAATTTCAAGATCGTTTCCATTCCCCTCACCTCCATTTTTTTCTTTTTGTTAGGTCTTTTTAATAATTCGTAGGACAATGAGTATTATCATATACGTGTATATATATATATATATATATATATATATATATATACCTCATCGATAAATCGTTAATATTAATTAATCAGGATATAAACAATAGAGAGAATCGAAAATGAAAATGATTGAGAAACGTCGTTCGATGCGAGTCAATTGTCCGTTGTATTATCTCGTGGCTGTGGGCTAAGCGGATCGGAAATTATCAACGAAGCATAGTTATCGATCGTCTTTTAAAATCGTATAAATTTAGATTATTATATCACGTGATACAAGACTGTGGCAAAGTTTTGAAAAAAGAAAAAAAAAAGCAAAAAAGATAAAAATAGACAAACGAAAGAGAGACAGAAAAAGAAAGAGAGAGAGGAGAGAGAGAGAGAGAGTGAGAGAGAGAGGGAGAGAGGGAGAAAATAAGAAAAACATTTTTTTCAATGGATCCTTTAAATTTCCAAAGTATCGATCATAATCGAGAAAAATGATCGATAGGATTTGGAGATCGTACGATTTTTGCCACACGCACTTGTCCCTCGTACATATACATACATTACATTAGTCGCGTTTCTTCAAATACACATAATTGTAAATATTTACTCAATCTGCTACATTCCTTTTCGAGGACAATTGTTAGAAAGAAAAATGAAAAAAAGGAAAAAAAGAAGAAAAAGGAGAAAACGAAAAAAAAAAGAAAAAAGTATTAAAGAACAATTCCGTCTTTATTTGACAAAAATACTCATGTAAAATGATTAACGTGCATACATATGTACACATACGGAGGACACGGAGATACATAAATATATGTGCGCGTATACGAGCGTGCACACACACATACACACACACACACACACACACACATGGAAACTATACGCATTCAGTATAGCTTTATCAAGTAGAGAAGGAAAATAGAAGCGCGTAAGGTGAATTAAAAGGGGAGAAAGATTTGAGGAAGAAAGAAGAAAGAAAGAAAATATAAAAGATGAAGAAAAAGGTGAAGAAGAAAAAAAAAAGAGAAAAAGAAAAAGGATAACAAAAAGGTTTAGGGCAAAAATCTTTTGTAACTGCGTTTATAGGTAGGCGCCTCGTATTTAAGAAGTCCAGAAGTAAGGGCAAAATAAATTAAAATAAAAAAAATGAAAAAGAAAAACAAAAAAAGAAAAAAGCATAAAAAAAGAAATAAATAGAAATATAAGAAGAGAAAAGGAAGAAAG